TGCTAACTCAAGTGTCCATTTAAACGACTTAACAAGTTCTGAACAGAATTCAAAATTATGTATTTTCATGAATAATTGTCATTCTAAACTATTGCAAACCTTCACGAAAATGTCTCAAACTTTTGCATCAATTCATAGAAGTTTCTTAGTATGTATTTAAGTCAAAATACATTAGTTTTAAAATTACCTCTTTTGTTATTAATTTTTCACATCAATTCAAAGAATTTTCTAAGTGTTCATTATTTTTTAAAAATGTTGAAACTTTGTGCAAAAATTTAAAATCATTCAAAAAGTTTCGTAACATATTCTGAGCACTTAAGGTTTATATATATTGTTGAATTATATATTGAAAGGGAAGAAGAATTGTTTATTCTTGGAAATTGTCCAAAAATTATATTTTATTCAAAAATATCATTTTGTTGTAACTTGATCACCAAGTGTGTGGTGACAATTATTTGTAAATAGAAAATGGTGTGCTTTCTAAGTGTATGTTGTAATCATCATAGTGTTTATGATTATTAGAGAAAGGTCCTTTGAATTGGTTTGATTCAAAGTCCACCATAGTTGTTGGTGTATTTGTGAAATAAAAGAAGTGGCATGCTTCTTTGATTTTGTTAGAAGATTTTAGAAGAAGTCTTAGTGTGAGGCTTGTACAAAGATCTAACAATAGTGAAAATCTCTCATGGAGTGTGAGGGGATTAGATGTACCCTTGGTTGATAAGGGAAACTAGTATGCATCATTGTGTTCATTTACTTTACTTTAATTTACTTTTTTGTTTATCATTCATTCATCATTCATAATTCCGGAAAATTCTAAAAAACTAGAAAAGTATCATAAATCTCTAAGAACATCTATAAACCTAATTCACCTCCTCATAGGTTGTGCACTCAAATACTTACATCTTGTTGATTCTCGTGATCCAAGAATGTTTCATTGAGGATGACTCTCAACATATATGATTTGTTATAATCAGTTAACCTCTTAGTAGATTGAGAAGATAAGTCTATAATGGATTTGTCTATCTCATTATTTTAGTCAAATCTCGTATCCAATGATTCAGAGAAAATGATTTACGATATTGTTTTGTCGTTCCCTCAAAAGGGGAGGTTTTATTAATGTTACTTGATATTTAAGTTAGTACCATTCTGAGAGGTAGAATAATCGGAAAAATCTTCTTGACACTCTAAATAAGTGATTTATTATGTAATAAAACAATTTAAATTATTATTACTAATGAAATGGTTTATCTTTTAGTATTTTTGGAAAAAGGGGTGCAACCAAGATGAAAAGGGTTTCAAAAGCCTAATGTCAAAGCTAAATATCAACCCAAGCCCTAAAAATACAAAATAAGACTGAATTCAATGAAAATAATTAATTATATGACTCATACATTTCAAATTTCAAACATAATCATAATGTATCTTCGCCTCCAAGAAAATCAAATCAGAGTTGATGGAGAACGTGCAGAACCTTCAAAACCATCATTACATAACTGATTATGCCTTAAAAATAATCAATTAATAGTCATGTTTTAGAAATTTTTTGTTGTAATAATTTATGGGTCAAATCTTCAAGAGTTTCTTTGAGTTTTTGTACTCTTAAAATGTCAGAAGGAACACTATAATTAGGTAATATTATTCCCCTCTTTTGCATAATTCTTTTCTATCTTCTTCTAGTATTTTATGTGAGTTTTTCTATGCGCCATAAGTATCATCTTCTATGACTCCAACAAGAAGACCCCACTCTAGAAGTTCTTTTTCAAGAAGATTGTTCGTGAAAGGTTCAACCTCATGAAGTCAAGAAAGGAATGGAATGTCCAACAGTAAGGTACACATATGATTTAAAGTAACTGCTCAACTTATTAATCAATTAGGAATTAGAGATTATAAGTCGTGACTTAAGGTTTAACGTTCCAATTACCACATGTTTAAACTAGCTAGCTGGCATAAGAGATTAGGGAGCGTAACATAGAATAATGAGTTATACACTAAAGGATTGGGTACAATGTCTAAGTTAAACCGTTGTAATTGTTGAATAATCAATATAGGGCAATTAGACACCGACATCAATAATGACATACAAGATATTTGAAACAAGACATAACCACCTTTAATCTAATCAAGTTTTAAAATATTTCATTTACGCTTTTATTTTACCAAATAAAACCTAAAAACTCCCCAATAAAGTTTCAATGGCACACACATCGCTTGTTAAGATAAAACAATCCCTGCAAGTACAAGCTTATAAATTTTATTTTTTTGATATGTTTAGTACACTTGCTAAATTGTCATTAGCTTCTATGGGCCCCAACTTTTCTCAAAATGTGTTGTCAAGTCTGAGTCCTTTCTAAAAAATCCAACACTCTGGGCTTTCAATCGTCCCTCTGACGACCACTGCCACTTTGTTGAATCAATCGATATGTACACGTGAATGGCTTTGTTTTACCTTGAGTAACTTCACTAAGGGTGATCATGGTATTTGGTTGCCTATTCCTAGTAGTAAAATGGGCAGTGAAAGTTTCGCATAACTCAGATCATGAATCGTCTAGCAGAGACATAAACCACACTCGAGTGGATTCTATCAATATATGTGCGAAGAGTTTGTATTTTATATCCCACCTATGTGGTAGTAGTCTAACCGACCGTCCACATGCTCAATGTGCTCATCAGTGTCTCTATTTCCATTATTATATTGGAGTTTCAAGGGTTTCTTCTAAGATCGGGGAATTCTGTCATCCACTATACGAGTAGTTAGAGGATCCTTTTTCCTCAGTTGAGCGAACATAACTTCTTTTTTCCTTTCCCTTCTCATTGGTAGACGTGCTTATGAGGGAGAATGGTTTCCCCCCAGGGTTGAGGTGCAATGTCTGTGTCTTCGGTGGTCAGGGAATTTCTAGACCTCTTCTAGGTCTTTGCTTGGTTTGACGACCTTTTGTGAGGTTGTTTCCTAGATGATGTTATTCCTTGTAATATCGTTTTGTAAACTTTTTTAAATCTGAGTAAGTGTGCACGAGAGCCTAAGATTGGCTTGTAAGAGCAAGAAACCAGGAAGTGTCCCACACTTAATGACTACAGGAGGTAGTGTTGTTATGGTGGAAGATTCCCCATAGAGGCGGAAAACAGGCATGTCCACCTTGTTCAGGCCATTACAGCAAAATCCCATAGTAAAATAGGGCGGGATGAGACATAAATTGTTCAGGGTGCAAGCCTAAAATTTTGTCCCACCCTGCAAAAAGTGAGGGCAAAACGGGCATGCACGGCAGGCCAAACCCGTTTTATCACCACTAGTTCCTCTACGTGAAACTGTGGAGTGGATCCAACAAATAGAGGGATCTAGGGAGCTCGTTGGATCGTCCATAATTACACGAGATTTGGTTGCAGAAGAGCATAAAGACTAGGTATTGAGGTTTGGTTATCCGTCCTTGGTAAAGGTGGAGGAAGATTCCTGCTACTTTAGCAGTTCCAGTAGCCTGTCGTTGGATGACGTAACAAGTGGCTTTCATTGGTGCTATTTCTTGATAATTCTAGTTTGATTGCAAACTTTGATGAGATTATTTTGGAAATTGAAATATACACTTTAGTCGAAGGAGATATAGATATGAGAATAATGGAATGTGGTAATCATAGGAATCAAAGATTGATTCCCACAGACGAAGCCAATGTTTCGCTTATGAACGAAACGTTGATTGGAAAGGCTGAAATGGCGCATTGTTGCAGCAATACAAGGTTCAAATACGGTGGAGTGGGGTTGATTTGCAAGATTAACACTCCAATGTGCAAGTCAGTAATAGAGATAAAAAGGTAATGTCAAAGGAAAATGAAATTCATACTAGAAAAAATGACGCACTAACTCCTTTAAATAGGAGAGCTAATTAGTAGGGGGTGTATACGAGTCGGTTTTGGTTGAATTTAGTCAAAACCATGACCCAAACGATACAGGATACACCGATTTGGGTGAGTTAAAATAACCACCCACGACAATTGGGTCGATTTGGGTAAAACCACAAATTTGTGGGTTGGATTTAGTTGGATAGTGGGTTACCCAATTTTTCTTCTTCCTTTTTTTCTTTCTTATATTATTATAAATGATGTGTCACATTTTTTTGTTAATAAAAAGTTTAACTTGTTACCATTATTTTTTAAAACATCAAATGTTTAAATGCACAATAAAAATCATCATAAACATATTTACAAAAACCATAGTTACATTATAGTAATCAAATTGCGGCGTCCTAAATAAATTAAAATTATTACTTACAAAATAGAAAATATTCAAAAGGTTGTAACTGAAGCAACAAATGATTAAAGACATTAAAGTCATCACTCATCAAATTACAAAAATAACCAAAAAAAAAAATAACCACTCAATGATCCATAGATTTTGTGGGTTGGGTGTGGGTTTACCCATAGCCCAATTATTTTGAATGATTTTTCTTTTTTGAAAATCGTTTTCACCCGAGAATTCTACATGTCACCCCTAAAGCCATATGTTCATCTGTTTTCGTCTAATTTTGATTCCTCCGGCGTTTTTAGAACTTGTGGTCTGTCCAGAACTGTTTAAATTACAAATACAAACGAAATTTATTTTTAATCATTATTAATAGAACACATAATGAGTCATGATTTCATAATTTCGATAATTTAGTAAGACAAGCGCACACATGTAGGAAAGTAGGAACCAAAGCTAAGATTATTCAATTCGTTAAAGAAAAAATAAGATGTGACCGTTCATTAAACATCTACTCATGAAATTGACTGAATCACCAAAGTTGTTTTTCTCTTCAAAATATAGTGGCAAGAGAAACTATTTTTCAATTTCTTTTTTGATCTGTTTTGACTTTTTCTGCAAACTACTAAAATATTAGTTATGCATCCATTCAAATTGTTTAATAAACTCTACTTCCCTACAAATCAAAGTTGAAGTTTTGTGCTTCTGAATTTTCATATTGTTAATTTGTAAAGAAACCTGAGAGTGAATTTTGTGGTAATTATTCAAGAGAATGGGTTGTTTTTGTTCAACTTCAACTTCAAAGAAAGTTAAAACGCCGGGTTATGAGGATCCAACCGTTCTTGCTTCTGAGACACCTTGTGAGTATCCATCATCATCATTAACTGGTAATTTCTGAGAAACTTGTCAAATTTATGTTAATTAATCACTATAATATGCTGATTAAAACAAGTTTTGTTTGTTAGTTTCTGTGAGCGAAGTAGATGCATTATATGAACTCTATTTGAAGTTAAGCAATTCCATTATTGAAGATGGTCTTATTCATAAGGTGAGTTAGTAAGTGTTTTAGTTTAGATTAAATCTCCTTAATCAATTAGTTAATTAATTATGGTGCTTGATAATCACTTTTGCTGAATTTTTATTTTTAACATTCAGGAAGAATTTCAGCTAGCACTGTTCAGAAATGAAAACCAGAAGAATCTGTTTTCTGACAGGGTTAGTAAATATATATAACTGATTCATATATGCTTTATGTGTCAAGAATTCTTGGCTTAATACTTTTCTCATTATTATTTCTCGTATATATAGAGGTTACAGGGCTATATTGGTAATTACACTAAATAATTACATTTTAATGAGAACAAGTCAATTTCTAATTTGTTTCCTTTATTCTAGAAACAAACCCTTATTCTAGGAACAAACCCTTATTCACATCCCCCCTCAAATTGATGCTGCTTGTCAATAAGCATCAATTTGCTAACAAGAAACTGATGACGTGGACGCGGAACAGCCTTGGTAAGAATATCTGCAATCTGCAACTGAGTACTGACATGAGGAAGTGATATGATTCGGTCATCATAAGCATCACGAATTGAGTGACAGTCAACTTCAATATGTTTGGTGCGTTCATGAAAAACAGGATTCGCAACAATTTGGATGGCACTTGTATTGTCAGCATAAAGCGAAGTTGGCTCTATTTGAGGAAATCCAAGTTCAGCCAAAAGACCACGAAGCCAAATTATTTCAGAACAAGCAGCAGACATGGCACGATACTCAGATTCAGTAGAAGATTTAGAGACTCTCGCTTGTTTCTTACTTTTCCATGAGATCAATGAAGAGCCAAGAAACATGCACCAACCAGTGACAGATCGTCGAGTATCAGGACACCCTGCCCAATCTGCATCACTATAAGCACTCAATTTAGGAGCAACTCCACTAGGAAAGAATAAACCACGATGAGAGCTTCCCTTCAAGTAACGAATTATACGACGAACTGCTGCCAAGTGAAGGTGGCGAGGAGAGTGCATGAATTGACTTACTTGTTGAACAGCAAACGATATGTCAGGGCGAGTAATAGTCAAGTAATTAAGGCTACCCACGAGTTGACGATACAATAAGGGATCAGGCAACAAATCACCATCATCACGATGATATTTAACATTAACCTCAAGCGGAGTATCCACTGGATTAGCCGATTGGAGACCAGCCATGGAAATTAAATCTGTGGCATACTTGTGTTGATGGAGGAATATGCCCTTGGATGTAGAATGAACCTCAAGACCAAGAAAATAATGCAAATTACCAAGATCTTTCATATGAAACGCTGCTTGTAACTGCTGTTTAAGGCTTTGAATGGAAGCATGGTCAGAACCAGTAATAATCATATCATCAACATACAGAAGAAGTAGGACAATTCCAGTAGACGTTCTATGAATAAATAGAGAAGAATCATACTGACTCTGAGTAAAGGAGAACCCAAGTAGAGTGGAGCGGAATTTTTCATACCATGCTCTAGGTGCTTGTTTCAAACCGTATAAGGAGCGTTTAAGCTTGCACACACCCTTAGATGATGAAAATAAACCTTGAGGAGGAGTCATATAAATGTCTTCCGCGAGGTCACCATGAAGAAAAGCATTTTTCACATCTAATTGATAAAGAGCCCACCCGTTAGAAGCAGCTATAGAGAGTACCGTACGAACGGATGTCATTTTAGCAACCGGTGCAAATGTCTCATCATAATCAATTCCATATTCCTGCTTGTTTCCTAAGGCAACCAAGCGAGCCTTGAAACGGTTGAGGGACCCATCCGAATTCAATTTCACAGAATACACCCATTTGCAGCCAATGGGTTTGACATCTGGAGGACAAGAGACAATATCCCATGTGAAATTCTCTTGAAGAGCTTGAAGTTCCTCATTCATTGCTTTTATCCAACGTACATCTTTAACAGCCTGTGAATAACAAGTAGGAATAGATATGCCAGAGAGGGTGGCAGTCAGAGAAGTATGTGCTGAATCATACCTGTCTGGTGAATATCTGTCTGGTGCTCGAGATATTCGAACAGAACGTCGTGGTTCAGCCGTTACAGGATCAGGTGGCGGTTCAGCGTCGGGAAAGGGTGTGGGAACCTGCTGTTTGTGTTTTCTGACATATACATGACCTGGTTTATAACGCTCTATAGATTGAGGCATAATAGAGAACTTAGGAAGAGTAACAATATCATTCATGACAGGAGAAACGCATGGAAACATAAACTGATTATCAAAAAATGTCACATTCCTAGAAATGCGAAAACGATGGTTAGTGACATCATAACACACAAATCCCTTATGTGAGTGACTATACCCCATGAACGCACATTGAACAGACTGTGCTCCAAGCTTATGTCTTTCAAATGGAGGTAAGTGCACAAAACAAACACATCCAAAAATATGTAAATCATTATAACTAGGCTGAATTTTAAAAAGGCGAAAGAAGGGAGAATCAAAATCAATAACCGTAGAAGGAAGACGATTGATCAAGAATACGGCTGTGGAAAGAGCCTCAACCCAAAATCGGGATGGCACAGAAGCTTGAAGAAGTAATGTGCGTGTTACATCAAGCAAATGACGATTCTTTCGCTCTGCCATCCCGTTTTGTTGAGGGGTATTGGGACAAGACCGTTGAGACAAGATCCCTTTTTGTTGAAGGTATTCCTGAAATGCATGAGACATATACTCACCTCCCGAGTCAGATCGAAAAATTTTAACACTTGCTTGAAATTGATTTTCAACATATGTCAAAAACTTCTGAAACATAGAAAACACTTCAGACTTAGATCTAAGAAAATATATCCAAGTAAAGCGGCTGTAATCATCAATAAATGTGACAAAATATTTATAGTGAGCATGAGATGTTGCAGGAGACATTCCCCACACATCACTATGAATCATCTCAAAACAATTAGAAGCACGATGAGCGCCTGACGGAAAAGGGAGGATTTTACTTTTAGCCAATTTGCAAACAGAACATGAAATAGGAGTAGTACACGCATGTTTATTTCCCAACAAACCAGTTTTAAATAAATGAGACAAAACAACAGAATTTGGATGGCCTAATTTTCTATGCCAATCCTCATAAGAGTTCAAAACAGTATTACATGCAAAGGATAAATGACTAGAACTAAACTGGAGTGGAAACAATCTTCCCACTTTAGGCCCCTTCGCGATCACCTTTCCCGACACCTGCTCCTGCACAAGACAACCAACACGAGAAAAACTAACATTACAATTGTTATCCACCAATTGACCAACCGACAATAAGTTGGAAGCAAGTCCGGGTGATACAAGCACGTCACGAAAGTTTGAGTCTATGTCACCAACATCAGTGATAGAAAGTTTATTACCATCAGCAATTTGAATTTGCTGATTACCATTATAGGAATGTACATTTTGTAAGTATTTAGAGGAACCCGTCATGTGATTGGATGCACCAGAATCAAGAAACCATGATTGAGAATTATTAGAAGACTTACCCTGAATTCCCAAGGCTGAAAGAGCAGAAAGTACCATTTGGTGAATCATTTCAGGTTGTAGAACACTACCGGTACCCGTACTGAGAGGACCAACTTCAGAGTTGGTAGTGGCATGGAATGCTTGAGTTGGACGTTGTACTGGTCGGGGAGGACGTGTGGGACAGTCAGAGATGATATGACCCTGTTGTTTGCAATAGTTGCAAAACTTCTTACTGCAATTGCGAGCTACATGTCCAAATTGTTTGCAAGAAAAACATTGAACTTGTCGCATATCACGACCCTTTCCTCTACTTTGAGCAGCATATGCAATTGCCACAGGTTCGGAACTAACAGCATCATGAGACATGGTTCCTTGCGTAAGTAGACGTTGTTCCTCCCTTAGAAGTTCACCGACACAAGTATCCAAAGAAGGAACAGGATTCCTATTGAGCAAAGCGCCTCTAACAATCTCGAATTCTGGACGAAGTTTCATGAGAAATTGATCTCGCCGACTTGTGTCGTAGACCTCTTGAACAGCAGTGAGAGAGGTTTTGGGAACATTAGCATGTATAATAGCAGAGTGTTCTGTCCAGAGATTCAGAAAACCAGAATAGTATTCTTGAATAGGTAGGTCACCTTGTTTGTAGTTGGCTATGTCTAGCTCCAATTGAAAACGTTTTGCCGAATTGTCCTGGTTGTAAATGCGCTTCAGATAATTCCATATTTCTTGAGCAGTTGAAAAGGAGCGCAAATTATTTATCATCTGAGGATCAATACTATTGAGAATCCAAGTGATGATTTGAGCATCTTGAGTTTCCCATACATCTGAAGCAGTTTTATCCGTCGGGGCCTTAGAAACACCATCTAAGTGACTCCATAATCCCTTTCCTCTAACATACATCTTGAATTGAAATTCCCAAGCCGAATAATTCTTGCCGGTGAAACGAACACAAAAGTTATCTCTTTCTTTTTCGGAAGCCATTGAAATTATGTTGTAATTAGATGATGTATTACTATAATAATAATAATTATTATAATACTTATTATTATTATAATAACAACCTGCAACCAAAAGGAACAAAGCTCGTGCAGTACCACCAATATATCCCAAGAACAGTACCACTCGTGAAGCCGTAACAATTCCAATGTTTCAATTTGGAATTAGCGGCGGAACCAAATTATAACCACAAACCAAATTAAAACAAAATTATAACCACGAAAAACAAACCGGTCACGACCTAGAATCAATATTCGTGAAAGGAGGATCGCAAACAACCGAAGTAAGCCGAAGCCCTAAACCCAGAATCACGATGGCAATCGACGCTAAACGAATTCCACGGGGAACGATCAAGAAGCAGAAACGAAGAAACAACAAACTGAATTGATCAGGGTGTTGTCACAGAACCAAGAGAGAAAAAAATCAGAACCAGGAAATCACAGGTTTGCTCTACGAGGTTGATACCATGTCAAGAATTCTTGGCTTAATACTTTTCTCATTATTATTTCTCGTATATATAGAGGTTACAGGGCTATATTGGTAATTACACTAAATAATTACATTTTAATGAGAACAAGTCAATTTCTAATTTGTTTCCTTTATTCTAGAAACAAACCCTTATTCTAGGAACAAACCCTTATTCACATTATGGTTTTAAACTTGTTTGTTTTTTTTCACGATCATTAATTTCTCCTTATATAGATTTTTGACTTATTTGATGTAAAGCGCAACGGGGTTATTGAGTTTGGTGAATTTGTTAGATCTCTGGGTGTTTTTCATCCAAAAGCACCTTTAGAAGACAAAATTGCATGTAAGATAAAATTCATTTCATATTAAAGTGATTTTTTGTAGTGTTTTTGAGCTTATTGATTATGGAAGTGATTTTTGCAGTTGCTTTTAGGGTGTATGATTTGAGGGAAACAGGATATATTGAAAAAGAGGAGTTAAAGGAAATGGTGTTGGCGCTTTTGCATGAATCAGATCTTTATCTTTCAGATGAGATGATAGAATCAATTGTGGATAAGACATTTGAAGATGCTGATACAAAAGAGGATGGAAGGATTGATAAAGATGAGTGGAAAGCTTTTGTTTGTCAGCATCCATCTTTGATTAAGAACATGACTCTTCCATATCTAAAGGATATTACTATGGCATTTCCGAGTTTTATTGCAAGAACAGAAGTTGAAGAAACAGAGGTGTGAATAATTTAGGAGTTTTCATGCTTATTCACTTGTGAAAAGGAGGATTATAAAATAATTCATGATTCCAGATTGTAGAGGTGTTTTCAGTAAATGGAGGATTGGTGGGGCCAATTTTGTAATGGTAAGAATAAGTGGTGTATATAAAGCTACCTAGGTGTATTGAAATGACTAATAAGTATACACAAAAAGGGATTTTGCTTCAGTTACCTGTGTCGTAGAGTTTTGGTAAAGAGTTCAGGGGACATGTTTAATATGCGAAAGGGACGTGATTTTTTTGTTGCTTTAGAGCTGGCTTCAATAAAGTCATTGACCATTGATTTGTGACTCTTTTTAGAAAAAAAGTTTGGATAGACACCAACATAGCACTTGTCTTTATAAATAATATTTTTTATTAATTAAAAAATAAAAATAAAATATTCTTTATATGATAACCACCCTCATTATTTCAATTAAATTTTTTTTTTAATTTTTGCTCTTTTTATTAATTATTTTTAAGAATAAGAATTTAAATTGGTTTTCATGCAATTTTGTCGACAATTTTGTACAGTTGTAATTACATCGGAAGGTACCCGACATTAAAAGATCCAACATCATCTTCATGCTCAACTGGTGGAATGATGTGAGGGTGTGATATAGTAAGGTACCACTCTAAGTAACCATTCACTAGGGCTGGAAATGAGTCGAGTCGAGTCGAACTCACCTCAGCTCGGCTCGACTCGTTAAGAATTGTTCGAATTCGAGTTCGAGTTCGAGTTCGAGTTCGACACGAACTTTTTTTTAAGCTCAAACTCGACTCGTTATAAGTTCACGAACAGTTCGGTTCGACTCGTTAGGTTCATCTCATTAGGTTCATCTCACATGGTTCACGAACTTAAAAACTATTTTTTTAAATATAGTATATTTGACATTTTAAATAAATATATATTTTTTAAATAAAATATTAAAATAAAATAAAATTTATCATATTGAAATTACATTTATCTTCGAAATCTACTAATTCAAAACCTACACAACTTTCAAGAGATACATTTGAGAGTCTAATTCAAAAACTACTAAATTGAAGATTAAATTTGTCTAAGATTTGAAGTAAATATTTAAACTTAATCTTAAAGACATTATAATTCTTTTCATATGTAATCGAGTTGACTCATGAACCTAACGAGTCGAACTATGTATAGTTCAAGTTCAGCTCATTTAGTTAACGAACTTAATTTTTCGCTCATACTCAACTCATTTGGTTCATGAACCTAGTTCAACGATTTAATTGTCGAGTCGAATTCCGAACTATCTTCGAGTTGGTTTGGTTCATTGCCAGCCCTACCATTCACATACTTCCTAGGAAACTGAACCTCCACTACATGATTTGTAATGGCACGGGCATAGCTGACAACGTTTCCCACAAACCATTTATCAATGCCTTCTGTTGGCACAATAATGAATAGTCGTGAGATGTCTTAGATATACCCAAACTGGCGCAAGCACCTCTCAGGAAAATGTCTAGCCACTAAGGTCTCATATCGATGATAACTAGAAAAAAAGAAAGTGTTATAAAACTCATGATGCACTGTATGTTCTGCATATGGTGTTTAGGTGACATTTATACTCAATGCATTAATCTTCTTCATGTACTCAGAAGAATGCCTGTGTGTGCATATCCGACCTTCCATCTCTTGGCATGTGTGAAGCCAATAGTGGTAAGAGTAACTTGCATGTCACAAATGGACAGAAAATGCTTGTATATCTAACATTGCACAAGAACATAGGCAAATCAATACATGTCATAAATAAGAACTAATGAAAAATTTTATATCTAAAATAAACTCATATAATCGGCAAGCTGCCTCATCTCAAAGACAGACGCATCTCCAAGTGCAGAATATAACACATTTAACACAACACACCCCATGCCCACCTGACCTGGTCAAGGTTACTAAATAGAGACATGTACCTCGCAAGATGTAACATGTAATATGCATGAAACCTATCTGCTAAGATAGTACATCTTACAAGATGTAACATGTATACCCTAGTAGTTGCCTCATAAATAGACTGCCCCGCCAGCTCTTTTTACCTATCTCAAAGCCAAGATAGGTGAAAATGAGCACCCCTATTAAACTTAAACTCATATTTAACATGCGCCTTAGTAACCCCTAATTCCCGTATAAAAATAATACATGCAAGCTCCTGGTTAAATATGTGACTGGTGAAGTAACTACCGGGTAGGGGAAGATGGAACAGGGAGTAGATATCATCCAAAGTAATTGTCATCTAACCATCTAACCAAATAGAATATGAAAGGAAGATGTCTTCTTATGCCATCTCTCAACAAAAGCTGACAATAGTGCAGCCTCGAGCACGGTCAACAAACATTCCACCAATGAAAGAAGACATCGATCGTCAACAATCTCCCTGACCTCCCTAGGCGTCAATATATCTAAGAACTTCTTCAGCTTTGCCTCATGGGTCACACCTTCAACAAATGGCGTTCCTGTAAGAAATAAAGTACAAAGCATCAATTATTTACAACATATCAATAATAAATAAATAAAAAGTTCACACACACACACACACACACACACACACATATATGTACCTTTTCCTGCCATAATCTTAGTGCCATATGATCGACAAACCTAGTGAGCACTGAACGGTCACTAAAATAACACCTCACTTTACCCCGTACGCGTAATATAATAAATATAGAGAAATAATTCATAAAATTCATCAGAGTCTTCCAACACAGTGGGATATCACGCTAAGTCACTTCATCTCATTAAAATAATCAATATTATTTAATTTTCAAGTAAGCAGCGGAATACAAATCAATTCTCCAATATAATTCTCCTCGACACGAGGTCATACAACATAAGTCCAATAAATGAAGATACGTAACAATAAACAAATAAAGTAGTCAAATAACAACGTAATCCCGTCATCCCATGTTACGTATCAGAGCGACTCCTAAGACTCGATCAAATAGCAACACACTCCAAGCACTACTCAAGTACCTGGTCACCTGTACTCCCAAGAGAGCACAGACACAACAACAAAAAGGGGTGAGAACTACATTCAATAAATAAGCGGTGAAATACACATGCTAAGGAGTAGTTACACACCACACATAAAATAAGCACAAATAACGCACATACACGTGCCACCTCAATCACTTGGCATTCATAGCCCACATTCAATTACAATAATGCAATGTGACACACTGACTCGACACAATGCATGTAGTACCAACACAATCTCATACGGTTCACACTAGAACCCGATTCCCGTCGGAATCCGGATAAGTCGTATATACGTTCCTCTGAACTACAACTTATCTCCACAACGAAATCCACAATGGAGTCCGGATGAAACTAGGCACCCATAATGGATTCCCACCTAGCCATCTCCACAAGACACATGATATGAAATGCATGTCAACACAATTATGCAATGTAATACATCAAGCATAATTCACGATCAATCTTGATCCACACGAGCCATCCGCTCACCATAATCCTCTCGGGAATTACCACAATCGCACAAGATTGTCCACATTCGACCATCTTGGCCCACATCTATCAAAACACCAAGACATCATTGAACCAGAACATGATTCGTTACTAAAACATATACATAATTAACTTCTCAAACATAATTAGATATAAAATATTAGGAAAACAATTCCATTATCTATCCTATGTTATAGCTCTGTTCATTAGCTTTCCAACGCTTCGAACGGGGATCAAAACGGACTTACGGATCCAAAGTTACGTCCAAAACAATTTCGACCGAAAACATGAACAGTCGTGACGGACAGAAAGACGCTGTTACGCTCCGGAACTGATATTCACCCAATTATTCTTGCGAATCACTTACTCAAAGCACCCAAAACATCACTAAAACATTCCTAAGGTTATACGACAATAACTGCACAACTTCTATGGTTTATTAGGCTCATCTGGCAACCTTTGCAACACATAAAACACTATTTCCTGCAATTGCTTTGAGTACTTCATAGTTACTCACATTTGAATATTCATATTCCTATAGGGACAACATATTACAATTTTTCCTTCAATTACACTCTACGACATTAAAATTACTCACTATCTAATACTCAATCCCTACAGGGTCAGACATATAACAATGTCAAGGTTCTGCCCACGAAGGTTCAATTTCCCATAAGTTTTTCCTATATTAATATTCAACGATACATACCATTGGGCCATTGGGCCATTTGGCCATAACCTCATATTCTTACTATTACTTCCCTATTTCCCACAATTAACCCAAATCTCTAAACCTTAGCGAAACCTTAGAGCATCGTATATAACACATTCATTCTTACATAGAAAAACCTCGTCCCTAACATTTATTGATTAATGGAAATTATACCTATGAATCAATTCCCTACATGAAATTGATCGTACCCACGGTTATAGAATTGAACTTCACCCTTACATCACCACAACATACCGAAAGGTATACATAGAAAACTATGAGAAGCAGTACTCCCCATACCATAATCATTCAAGGACAACAACAATTTTATGGAATTTATCATGCTACGAAAATTAGATCAAGAATCCTCAAGAACACATAATTCCTATGAGAGAAAGGACCTCTCACTACCCTCTCATGTTAATTCACCCATATTGAAATCCATTCTCCCCCCTTACCTCGATTAATTGCTCAATCGTTGAAGAATCTTGAAGGATTGACAACCCTAGCCTCCTTCTCTTCCTCCTTGTTCTTCTTCTCACTTTTTCTCCCAAAACCTTTCTCCGGCAGTTTATCGTGTTCTAATTCTCTTTCCCCAAAAAACTTCTCTATTTCCTTAATCCCTTATTTCTTATTTTATTATTTAAATCCTATAATAATAATAATAATAATAATAATAATAATAATAATATTCTCCCACTAATAATAATATTCATACTAATAGTAATAATATGAATAATAATAATATTCCACCAAATAATATTATTAATACGAATAATAATAAT